TGCCAGAGAAGCGCCCAGCCAGACCCAGCACACAGTAGGCGCCCGATAAGAAGAGATGAGTGAATACCTGACTCAGCGCCCAGCCTCCCGACTGCTGTGGAATTCTGCATTTTGCCCCGCTTACCTCCGTTCATTCTGTGTCTACTGTGTATCTGAAGAGTGGAAACGGATTTTTATTAATTACTGAAATCGGGTAGAACATGTACACTTTTGTTTTATTTTATTTATTTATTTTTAAATGCGAGCCAAGTTTTTTTTTAATGTATTTTTTATATTGGAGTAGAGCCAATTAACAATATTGTGGTAGTTTCAGGTGCACAGCAAAGCGACGCAGCTGTAAGTATACATGTATCCATTCTCCCCCAGACTCCCCTCCCATCCAGGCTGCCACGTAACATCCAGCAGAGTTCCCTGTGCTATACAGTAGGTCCTTGTTGGTTATCTATTTTAAATATAGCAATGTGTAAGAACATATACACTTTTAGAGCTAGTGGGGCCTTCAAGTTCATTGTGTCCAGTTTTCACTCTGGTCCAAGCTGCTTCAACCTGCTCATGAGACAGATGGAAAAACTGAGGCCGTGACCCGCCCGAGGCTATGTAGCTGCTGAATGTTGGCTCCAGGGCCGATGTGGAGTCCCCAGGGCCACCAGATTCACACCTTTCTCCTGTTCCCATATCCTGATGGGAAATGCAGTTCCTGAGAAGCCAGTGACCTTCCCAGGGTCACTCAACTTGTAAGTGCAAAGCTGGGGCCAGAACCTGTCCCTTCTGGGCTCCTCCGAGGCCCCCAGGGCCTCCCGGACCCATCAGCAGCGCCTCCCAGCCTTGCCCCCTTGACTGCACTAAGGACCGCCCCAACGGAAGGCATGGTTTAATGGGGCCTGAGCTCCAGGAGCCATCCGCAGGGGCAGCCAGATCTGCTTTAAAGAGGAAAGAACACCCCACGAGAGGACCTCGGGCCCCACACCAGCGTTTCCTGTTTCTAGGGCGCAGGCCAGGGGTGTGTGTGTGTGCCTTTCAGAGGTGCTCCCAGGGGACGGGCGGGACCCTGGCCTGCAGGTTCTGTACAAAGCAAGGAAGCGTGACGTCACCAGAAGGAGGTAAACAGAAGGACGCTTCCTCTTTTGCTTCCATGGGGCTCTTGCCTGATCCAGAAAGCTCTCAAACTACAGAAAAATTTCCCTCCCAGCCTGGACTGGGCTTCAGTTAGTTCTTCTGGAGTTGCCCCTTTGTGGAGAGGAGAGAGTTCAAACCAAACCGAACTGGTGAAAAGTCCTAGAATGAATTGTGCTACAATCCCAGAGGTGGGAACCGGGAGGGGTCTGATGCCAGTCCCACTCCCAACCCCACTTTACAGATGGGGAAGCTGAGTCCCAAAGAGTTCAAATTACTGCTGAACGGATGATTCGTTGCCACTGTGAACAGACAAACCCTCAGCACTGTGGCTTTCTGTGGGGGTGTCAGAAAACGCTACTCACCCTCAAGTTGCATCTGGGCTGGAGCAGGAGGGACACCAGGACCGGGAGAGCTGCCGTTCTGCCTTGGCTCTCTACTGGCAAGTCATCTTATCTCTCTGAACTCAGCTCCTTCCCTATATACTGGGACAATGATACCTGCCTCAGAGAGTCACTGTGAGAACTGAGACAATATATGTCAAGATCCCAGCTTGGAGACTGGCTCACACTAGGTGCTCAATACTGCTTTCTATAAAATGGAGACAAGGATATAGCTTCTGTAGCCATCAGGATTACGTTAGGCAGCACGTACCAGAAAACCTCAAACAGCGGGACCTCTCTGGTGGTCCAGTGGTTAAGAATCTGCCTTCCAATGCAGGGGATGCGGGTTTGAGCCCCAGTTGGGGAACTAAGATCCCACAGGCCGCGGAGCAACTAAGCCCGTACGCCACAATTAGAGAGCCTGCATGCTAGAGAGAAGACTGCCCGCCACAACGAAGAACCCGCGTGCCACAACTAAGACCCGATGCAGCCAAATACATAAATAAATAAGTAAATATTTAAGGAAAAAACCACAAAACCTCAAATAACAGTGGCTTAAGCAAGATAAAAGTTTGTTTCTCTCTCTCACAATAGAAAAATCTGGAACTACACAGTCCAGGGTTGGTGTAGAACTCCACAGTTATCAGAGACCCAGGTGCCTTCTATCTTTCCGCTCTGCCATTCTTTTTTTTTTTTTTTTTTTTTGTGGTACGTGGGCCTCTCACCGTTGTGGCCTCTCCCGTTGCGGAGCACAGGCTCCGGACGCTCAGGCTCAGCGGCCATGGCTCACGGGCCCAGCCGCTCCGCGGCATGTGGGATCCTCCCGGACCGGGGCACGAACCCGTGTCCCCTGCATCGGCAGGCGGACTCTCAACCACTGTGCCACCAGGGAAGCCCTCTGCCATTCTTATTACCTAGAGACCCAGCCATCACATCCCAGCTCTGGGGGAGCAGGAGGAAAGAGGGTAGTGCATAAGAACCCTCCTAGAAGCCTCACCCAATGGCTCCTCACTCACTCCTCTTTTCAAAGAAGGCTGGAAAGTGTCCTTTTTTCTGGCTGGACACATTGCCATCCCCAGTAATTGTGACTCACTATACTGTACACTCGTAAAGATTCTGCCAATAAGAAGGGAGAATGAATATTAGATAGGAGACCAACAGTGTCTTATGTACCCTCCTCACTGAGTGCTTTAGAAAACTAGTGCTCTATTAACTGTTATCATTAATCCAATATAAGGAACAGTTATCTGAATATCAGAAAAACATTAAAATAGATTTTTTAAAATGACTCCCTTTTCATGAAGATGGCTCTGAAAGCGAAGAAGGAAGCTCCTCACTACCACCCCAAAGCCAACGCAAATGCTTGGAAGGCCAAGGAGGCAGTTCCAAAGGGCTGCACGGCCACAAAGAAAGGGAAGGTCCGCAGGGCACCCACCCTCACAGCCCAAGCATCCTTGTGAGAGCGCCTCCAGGAGCCACAGCCTTGAGCGCTCACCCCCTCGAGTTCCCCAGAGAAGACAGAGCACTCCGTGTTCATCGTGGGTGCCTAGGCCTCCGACTCCAGGCCACAAGGCTGCGGAGGCGCTTGGTGACAGGGTGTGGCCAAGGCCAGCCCCCAATGGAGAGAGAAGCAAGCGTTTGGCTGGCTCTAGGCTGTGATGCTTCAGATGTCGCCAAAATTGGCATCATCTAATCTGAGTCCAGCTGGCTCATTCTAAATATATAGATTTTCACCATTTAGAAAAAAGACCCTAGAATATAGCCAATATTTTATAATAGCTATTGATATAAATGAAGTGTCACCTTTAAAAATTGCGACTCACTATTATGTACACTTGGAACTTATATAATATTGTACTGCAACTATACTTCAATTAAAAAAAATACAAACAAAAACGAGAGTTTGAGATCCTTAAAAAAAAAAAAAGAGACCCTAACCAAATAGTTTGCAGGTGACTCAGAGCAGTGGCAAGGCCAGGATTTTAAAGTCCACCCTCGGCTCCGAGACTGTGACCTGTCCCTGTCTGTTGAGCGGAAACCACGTGTGATGCCCCACATCCCCGTCCTCCCAACCCCAATGGTTACCGTCCTCCCAGGCCCTCCCTCGAGGCTCCCGACTGAGGGTCTCTCTGGCTGAAGGGGCGCTCTGGAATGCAGTGGGTCACCAAACCAGTACCTGGTGGGTCAGGTTCCATTCAGTGCCAAGAGGCAAATACAGCAGCATCTTGTCAAGAGGGAACCCTGGAGGCATCATTTTGAGGATTCAAGGAGATTCCTTCAGGCTTTATCCTGAAAATTTTCATTGAGGGTCTGTCATGCTGGGGATACAGCCATGAACCAGAAACCCCAATTCCTGCCCTTAGGATCTTCTGGACGTGAAGACAGGTGACCAACAAAATACGGGAGTGATGGGTGGAGAGTTAGAGGGACACGTGCCAGGGAGGGAAACCACAGCAGGGAAATGGGATGTGGAGTGTGTGTCGATGTGGAGGTTGAAATTTCGGATCAGGCCGGTGCTAATGCAGGAACCGCATTCGCGTGTGCAAACTCTCAAGGTGGGAGCATGCCTGGGGGGCTTGGGGAAGAGCCAGAAGGCCAGGGTGGTTGGAGCAGGGGAGTGAGGGGACAGACAGGGACTGGGGGCCGGGCCACTGGGGCTTGGGGACTCCGCTTCTGCTCTGGATGGGACAGGAGTGTCGCACAGTTCTGGGCCAGGAGGGCCCGGCTTGGCTTTCTCCAGAATCTCTCTGGCTGCTGTGCTGAATAGAAGGAGGGCAAGTTTTGCTTCTGTAGGGGGAGAGGCGTGTGACGCAAGAATGACCCACCAGCTTTGCTCCATCCTTTATTTGCAAAGCAGCTTTAAAGAGAAAGGAGGAGCCATGTATTCATTCATGCATTTATTCTTTCACTCATTCAGGCATTCATGCAAGACCACCCCCACCCCCACCCCCACTCCCGCCCGGCAAGCCCCAAACCTGGCGTCTCAGGTGGGTCACACCTAAACCCACCCTATGGGGCACTCACAGTTCCTCGGGCCTGTGTGTGTGTGGTCAGGAAGGATGGGCCTGTGGGTGTGCAGAATGGGGCGGGGGACACACAGCTCTGAGCTCACTGGGGGCTTTTTCTGTGAATTGGCCGATACAAACTGCCCACGGCAAGGTCCCTGGGCTATTCCCCCAATGGTCCTGCCTCTGAGCCAGGAAGGGCTCAGGGGCCTCACGGGCCTTTAGGATGGAGGGGTTCCTGGGAAGGAGGACTCTGGGTGCTAGATGTGGGTGAACCAGGACAGGCGGTCCCCCAGCCTCTGCTCACACAGCCGTACCCGAGGAAGACTTCCTTGAACCTCCCCTCTGCTTGGCGAGGCCCCTGTCTGTCCGGCAACACCCCAGCGTGATCACTTAGCACATTATTTTGGAACAGAGTGTTTCTGTGTCTGTTGGCTGAGCCAGCAGCTGAGCCCCTCAGTGACAGAGACCCTGCCTCGCTCATCTTTGTGCCTCCAAGGTTTAGCCCCATGTCTGACTGCCTACCATCCCTGGACCCTGGACTTGGCATCTTGCCGTCAGCGTCGCACACCAAAGCAGGCATGCGAGGGATGCAGGGCACAGGTGAGCCGGGGAGCCTTCAGGAAGGAGGTGTGGGTGGGGCAGGTGGGGATAGAACAGTGGCATCGAAGGGCCTGGAGAACTAGCCATGCTGAAGCCATTTGAGTTCAGTGGGCGTTGGGGGCAAGTGGAGGGCGTGGGTTGGAGTTGAGACTGAACAGTCTGTGGGGGCCTGGAAAGCCGTGCTAAGGGGACTGCGCCAGCGAAAGCCCTTAAGCAGGGAAGTGAATGATGACCCAGTCGTGCGCTGCCTGGGGAGAGTGGCGGGGGGCGGGGTGTCCAGGGCAGAGGAGGGACAGGGAGAGACCGGGGGGCAACGGTGTCCCCACCCATGCCTCCTGCTCAGCTGGGTCTCCCCTGAGGGCCATTCGCACAGGAGGAGGCCGCAGTGGACCAGCCCCTCTGCCAGCGCAAGGCCGTCCGGTGGAGAAACTGCTGCTAGGGGCCTGGCTGGCTCCCTGGGGCTGCAGCATCGGCTCAGGAGTGTCAGGCCAAGGGCCGCCCGAGCTGGGTGCCTAGGGGCTCCACAAGGCCAGGCTAGTCAAGGAGGCACCTGGTGGTGGTCACCAGTAGCAGGGACAGGAGGCAGGTGGAGGACCTGCCCAAGGCCAGGGTAACAAAGATGCTCTGAGCTGAGGTGGTGGCGAGTTGGGGGGACCAGGCTTTGGCTGCAGAAGCTCAGCCCTTCATTCCATGACACCCTGAGGTCTCACTGGGCCTCCCACAGACTCCCAGCTCCGCCCCACCAGTCCCCGCTCGCATTTTATGAAGTAGGCCTGACTGACGGGGCAGGTGGGTCCCAGCCCAGAGCGGATGTGGTGTCGACGGGAGGAGGTGACCAGCAAGCCTTCTCCCCTCTCGTCACCAGCTGTCAGACGCCGACCAGCGCTGGCCCCAGGTTTCTCTTGCGTAAAATGGGATATTCGAGAGACTTCCCTGGCGGTCCAGTGGTTAAGACTCCACGCTTCCGATGCAGGGGGCACGGGTTTGATCCCTGGTTGGGGAACTAAGATCCCACATGTCGCGTGGTGAGGTCAAAAAAAAAAAAAAAAGCAATAGGGATATTCGCTCTTGCCTGGTGCAACGTGGTGAGGATCCAGTGATAACAGATGTAGATAATTCTAAAACAACAAGTGGTGCGCTTACCATCCGCAGATATAGCTTCAAACACCAGCATTTTAGAAAGGGCTCTGCAAACAGACTGTGGTTGCCGAGGGGGAGGTGGGGTGGCGGAGGGAGGGACTGGGAGTTTGGGGTTAGTAGATGCAAACTATTACATATAGAATGGATGGGTAACAAGGTCCTACAGTAGAGCACAGGGAACTATATCCAATATCCTATGACAAATCATAATGGAAAAGAATATGAAAAAGAATGCATATATGTGTATAACTGAGTCAGTCTGCGGTACAGCAGACATTCACACAGCACTGTGAATCCACTATACTTCTACTGAAGAAAAAATAAATGAAAAAGAGCTCTGCTAAGTTTTGCAAGTTGTGAAGAAGCCAAGCGCTTCCTCCAGCCTAGATCGTTTATATGTTTCTCTGGGTGGTTTTTCTTTTTTCCCAATTAGAATCATCAGTTGAGCATTTGTTAAATACATCAGGTCCGAACAAGCCAGGATGCTCAGCTTTCGTGGTGAGGTGGCAAAAATCAGCGTGAGAATGAAATGCTTTTGGAAAAACTATAGCAGGTACAAAACTATACTTGGTACCTATCACCAAACGGCTCCCAGCGTGGTAACATGACAAGATAGACTTTCTGACCAGTTTGGGGATTAAACAGACTTGGGGAGACATCACAGCATGAGATGCACTTGGTCTATTCAAGGAAAGCTTACTTTTCATAAACGAATTTTAGTCTAAAGAAAGATTTCACCTTAAGGGAAAGAGCAGAATTACAGGTTGACTCGGCACCTTCATTTACATGTCTTTATAAAGACTTTAATAAAAATAGGTTCAAAATGATTGTAAGAAAACCCTCGTGGCACATACTAAACTGTAGGCGTCCTCTTTATAAATCCTCCTCCTGTTTCTATGTCTGGTGGGATGTGATTGGGGTCCATGACCCAAGAGGCCACTGGGTGCTGGCCCTGTGTGGGTGCGTCACCCACCCCAGCTCAGGGGCCCCTCGTTCACCCTGTAGACAACCACCCTGTTTGACTTAGAGAAACACAGTGGCATGAGACAGCCACTCAGGCAGGGAGAGATGTGGAGGGAACTTGCCCTGTGCCGGCCTGTCTCTGAGAAGGAAAAACTGACACTCACGCTGAGCAAGCCACCAGCACGCTCGGGGGCCAGGGTGTGGAGCAGCACCCCCCGGAAATTGGTCTGAGTCCTGCGCCCGCACAACCTCGGAGCGTGGCCTGGGGCAGGTACCTGGCCCTCTACGGAGGTTTCCGGGGGGCAGGGACATGGCTGGCTTGTCTCTGCATTCCTGACACATAGTAGTTGCTCAATTAATATCAGTGTAAGTGCATGAGTGAATTTGTCTTCCAGATTTCCTTTTCAAAGCTCATTAAATACGGACTAGTGCTGTGCAAGAGAAATAGAATGCCGGCCGCAGAGGTAAGCTTAGCAGCCACGTTAAACAAAGTAAAAGAAACAGGTGACATTCAGTTTAATAATACGTTTATTTCGGGCTTCCCTGGTGGCGCAGTGGTTGAGAGTCCGCCTGCCGATGCAGGGGACACGGGTTCGTGCCCCGGTCTGGGAAAATCCCACGTGCCGCGGAGCGGCTGGGCCCGTGAGCCATGGCCGCTGAGCCTGCGCGTCCGGAGCCTGTGCTCCGCAACGGCAGAGGCCACAGCAGTGAGAGGCCCACCGTACCGCAAAAAAACAACATTTATTTAACTTGGCGTATCTAAGATATTATCATTTCAACACGGATCAATGTACAAATTAGTAAGGAGGTACTTTACATCCTTCTCTCGTGCTGTCTTTGAAATCTAGAGCAGGCTCCCTTCACGCCGCCCGTGGCAGTACTAGCCCTCGTTTGGCTGGTTTCCGAGTTGGGCAGCACAGGACTAGAACGACCCAGCGCCAAGTACCCAGTGGAGGAGGGACGAGGGCAGGGCCGGGCGTGGGTGCAGCATCAGGACAGGGAGCTCACCACCTCGCAGGCTGGAGAGACAGGCGAGTGAGGGGCATGAGGTGATAGATGCACCAGGGCTGTGGGAGCAGGATGAGGCACACCTGGCCGAGTGGGGCTCCAGGCCTGGTGGCACCCCTGTCACTGGGGCCTCCCTGCTCCTCTCTGCTTCCAGCGCTCCACCTGGGGCCTGGCCTGAGGGCTCCCAGCACCTGCAGAGTGATTTTTGCAGCAAGAACAGGACTGGCTTGTTCATTCACTGAAGCAGCGGGACCCCTCCCAGCCCAGAGGCAGGTGAGGGGCTGGCATCAGGGCGCATCCCTCTCTCTCCAGGGTCTCACTCGTGCAGGAGTGGGAAAGAGCTCCCAAAACAGAGCCCACCGCGGGGCGAGGGCCGTGTTTCAGGCAGTGACGCTGCGTTTTAAACTGGGTTTTAAACAAACCCACCCTCGGCCGACTCCCCCCAGGCCTTCCGGACCCTTCGGACCCTTGGATGGAATTAATCTGCGGCCCCTGTCACTGCCCTCGCTTGTCCACGCAGGAGCCGGGTGACGGGAGGGGCGGGGGGAGTTGCTAGACGTGGGAGCGGCTGCTTCCTTCCGTGAACAACTGTGTGGAGTTCTTGGAAGGGCTCCATGTGCTTGAAAAGGATGTCTCAGCGGGTCCCAGGTGGGAGGGGGCCCGGGAATGGGGGCGGGGGAGACTCAGGTCTAGGGCCCTCCCTTGCCCTGGCCCCCCTCCACCATCTGGCTCTCAATGTCCCCCCAGGCTCACACACACACACACACACACACACACACCAGGAAATGGGTGTTGGTGGCTCGGTGGGTGGCCAGCTGAGAGAGAAGCAAGGGGACTGGGCAGCAGCTGGGCCTCAGGCCTCTGCCCCTCCTTGACCCTGGGCTTAGCCTGGCTTTGGGTTTGGAGGCAAAGAGGGACAGAAGACGGACAGGAGAGCCCAGCTGCTGCTCTGACCTGAGCTGCTCTGGGGACCGGGAGACGTTTGTGATGCGGCCTGAGCCGCCCGTGCCCCCCAGCCCCACTTCCTGGTGGGGCCGGGCAAGCGGGCACCTCTGGGGGCAGCACACTTCTCTGTGGGTGGGCTCAGGACCACGCTGCTGGGCTGGTGGGAGGGAGTGGCCCTGCTCAGGACTGGCCTCCACGGGCTCCTTTAAGAGCCTCCCTGGACTAACCTCATCTCTCGGAATGTGTTCTTATGACGGGAAGGGGGTGTTTCCAGCTCTGAACTTTCACTGCCCGGGGGAGTTAAGAGTTGACTGGGTTTCACAAATGGTCTGAAAATCCCTTCTAATGATAACATTCCAGTGTGGGAGGCCCTGTTAACCGCCAAGCAAGAACCACCTGCAGAGCCAGCGGCCTGAGGTGAGCAGGTCCGCCTCAGGCAGGGGCCTGGGCGCTGGCGGCCCACCCCACCTGGGGAATGCATCTGCGTCCCCCCACTGACCGCTATGTGCTCTTGGGTAAGGGGCTCCCCTTGCTGGGCCACGGGTCCTGATCTGCCAAATGGGGTGACACCTGGTCATGGGCTGGGGGCGGTGATGGAGAAGAAAACACACCTGTGCACACAAAGCATCCATTAGGTGCGTAACCAGCAGCCGGTGCACCATTGCTACGGGCGGCCCCTCGCCTCCATCTGCCCTGGCCGGGCTCTGCAGCATGCAGAGGCTCCCAAGGAGGGAAAGTCGGAAGCAAAGTGGAGCGGGGTGTCAGCATTTACCGAGGATCCCCTTTGCCCTCACGCCAGCCTCTGGGGTCTGCATTGCCATCGCCCTGCAGTTAGTGAAGGATGGAGCTGGGGCTGGTCTTGGATCTTTCTGCCTCCACTGCTTGTGCCCCTTTCACTGGTTGGGGTACAGGGCAGGACCCTTTCTCAGGAGAAGTGCCCGCGTGAGAGGGGCTGAGCTGAGGCTCTCGAGCCAGGATCAACTGAGAGGTTACAAGGTTGGAGCCCAAGAGCAGGCACAGGGGATGGGAGCCTCAAGGTCAGAGGGATACGATGAGGGCTCAAGAGGTGTGATGGGGTGGGGAGGGCTGCCACCCAGCCTGGGTGCGGGAAGTAGGGAGGGAGGGCTTCCTGGAGGAGGGGGTACCTGAGCCAATGAAAGGTAAGTCAGAGTTATCCGGGGAGAAAAGGGGAGAGCACATTCCAGGGCAACGAGAACAGAAGGTGCAGTGGGAAATAACCTTGAATAGCCTTGGGCTTCCCTCTTGGGCCCTCCAGCGGACTGGTACCTGACTTCCCCTTTCCCACCCATTTACTGTTAGCTCTCTATTTTTATTTGTCTTGATTCCTAGTCCGGATCAGTTAAGACAGTTCTCACATCTGTCCCCTTCCTCTAGCCTGAACACACAGCGGCAGCCGGACCGCAGCTTCCTGTCTGTCTTCACCCAGAGGAGGAGCGTGGCTACCCAGCCGTGTGGACCCTGACCTGGCACCTCCCTGTTTGCACAGCGGCTCTGCAGCCACAGGCGCCTACACAGGAGTGTAAACAGGCTCCTGGCACCTAGGCCAAAGTGTCCCAGGTCTCCCTTCTACCATCCTTCTCTTCCCAGAATTTTCTTTAAGGGAGACCCTTCTTGGGGGGCGGTTGAGTTTCAGAATGGGCATCCCCTTGGCCACCAGCCCATCAGGACCCCTGAGACAGCCCATGAGGCGGTGGGCTAGCTTCCCTTTTTCCTTTTGAAGTCACACATTTCATCCTCATTCTCATTCTCTCAGCCTTTTTCTAGCTCCAGGCCACCTTCTCAGGGATTAGGGTCTGGGATAGTTGGTTGGTATTTGAATTTGGAGAAGTATCTTCACCGCAATCGCGTTATCTTAAACATAATAGTGTTCCAGAAATAGATGAAACCATTGACTTTCTCTTTTTTTCTGATAAAGTGTTTACAAAGAACACGTCCAACCATTCTACCACAGACACTCCCTGCCCCACCCGCTGAAGGATCACAGAACCTAGCCTGTTCCCGCCCAGAATTTGGTATCACTACCCCTTGTTCTTCAGGGTTTTCTTACATACGTGTGTTTTGTGCACGCTCATTAAATGACATCACAGTGTATGTTTTCCTGTGACTTTAAACTTTTATTCAATATTGTGTCAGAGAATCACTGCTAAACGCCCCCCCACTGTGCAGATGGACCCTAATCAACGGTCAGTGGAACTTTGTTTCATTCATCAAATATTCCTGTGCACCTATTGCTTTGTGCCAGACGTAGGCCTGGGCGCTGGGAACGGATGTGCACAGGGTGAGAATGGCCTGCCCGGGGTCACCCGGCCGTCGGCGCTGGGCCAGGTCCACGTCAGGGCAGATTCTAATTCAGCCCCACTACCCACCAGAACTGTCAGGCACGGCAGTGGTCAGCACACAGTAGGCAATAACCTTTGCTGAGCAGAGCTAAAGGGTTTTATTTGGGGGAGGGAAGCATTATTACTTCTGTTTTGCAACTGACAAAATGTAGCAACAGCCCAGTGATTTTTTTTTCAATTTACTTTTGGCTGCGTTGGGCCTTCATTGCTGCGCGCGGGCTTCTCATGGCAGTGGCTTCTCTTGTTGCGGAGCACGGGCTCTAGGCGCACAGGTTTCAGTAGCTGTGGCACGTAGGCCCAGTAGTTGTGGCTCGCGGGCCCTAGAGCGTAGGCTCGGTAGTTGTGGCACATGGGCTTAGCTGCTCCGCGGCATGTGGGATCTTCCCGGACCAGGGCTCGAACCCGTGTCTCCTGCATTGGCAGGAGGATTCCTAACCACTGTGCCACCAGGGAAGTCCAGCCCAGTGGTTTTGAAGCCTGGCTGCACCTTATGTGGCCAGGCGGGCCTGTAGGACCACAGCTGCCTGGGATCGGCCAACACCCAGTCCTCCACAGCTTGGGGAAGGGCCTAGCAGAGAGGTTTGTTGAAACATTCCATGGGATTCTTTCCTGTGGCCAGTGTGAAGAGACCGTTTGCACCCTTCAAAATCCCGTGAGATGCTGAGCTCAGATTGTACAGTCTCCACATGGGCCTGGGGAGTTAGCATTCCTGACACACGGCTTCCTCTAATTCATTAAATTTTTGGAGAAAGCAACATCTAACGATGGGGTTATGGCTGGTTGGGGCAGGAGCACACTGTCTGAGCAGACACTGGGCACTGGGCACTGGGCGAGGGGACCCCTCCTGTGGCATGGTTACCCTGACGACTAGCAGCACCTGTGCCATTTGCTGTGACACCATCACATCTCGCTGGGTGATGGCTCAGGCTCACCGCCTGATGCCCACTGCCCAGAGCCTACGTGCCGTCTATTGTAACTGCCCTCTGGTTCTCTTACATTCCTCCCAACCTTTCCCACCACAGGAGAGGGAAGAAAGGGCCCAGACCTAAACATGACAGTACACACACACACACACACACACACACACACACAGCCCGTGGGATGTCCCATGTATACATCCACAGGCCTGCCAAGGTCATCTGTCCCCCCGAGGCTCCTCCGGCCCCCGCCTGCCTGGTCCTCGTGGGATCTTTCTGCACGAG